CTTAGATCACATTTTAAAATATTATTTTGTGGCTGAATTTTATTTGTTTTTATTTAAATATACACTTTACTGCTTCGTCAGATTATTCAGAATTTTTGTATAGTCATATATATAAGGTATATAAAAATACACATTTTATGTCATTAAGGCAGTATTTTCAAAAAGATATGCATACATTATTTGCAGGCTTTTTACCATACACTCCACCAGCTATAAATTAATAAAAAAAAATTTCGCGCTGCTTTATATACAAAAACATATGCAATCAGTATATATACATACGTATGCATGTCAACAATAAGCATATATTATATACTATATTTTATATTATGTACAACTCTTGAAATTAATGTATACCACATACTTAAAAAAATATGTATATTTTTTGTTAGCGCAGCAACAGGCTGACGTCTGCCAACAATCACAAAAACAAATACAAAATTCAATTGAACGTCGCGTCGCTGTCGTGATCGTCTATGTGACACTCCGCTTTTCAATAATCGAATGTCCGCAATTTTCAGCTCAAAATTACCGAACAGCTGTGCCCAGCGGAGAATTTCACACTGGCACGAGCGCCAGCGAATTCGGCTAATGTGAGCGATTTTCCTGCCAATTTTCCTATATGCAAAAACAAAGTCAAACACAAAATATTAAATTAGTAAATACACGCTCGTACTCGCACGCTAAAACTTAACGCACCGTCACGCTCAAATTTCGAAAACAAGTTCTCGATTTCTGCAAAACCGCTTTCACTCATTCAGATTTCAGAAAATCACAATGCATTTTTGCTGGCGCAATACTCTCAAAACGGCGCAGCATGCTTCTGCGAGCAGCGGATTTTTGTGGTGGGCGGCATTTAATACAAACAAATATTTATTTGTATATACTATATTTTGTGCTTTGTTTTTGAGTTAACTCATACAAACAATTATTCGAAACATAATTTATTTGAATTGGCTTTCGAGTTAAGATTGATGAGATTTATCTCTATATATAAACCAATAAATTTGTGTTTATATAACATAAATTTACATGGGATACATACATACATATGTTCACTTCTACGATTTTTTACACATATAGATTAGTTTTAGCAAAAATTATTAACAAAACTTGACTCAAGAATAGAAATTTACGATATCCGACTCGAATTTAAAAAGTTAAATTGCGTAGCTCGAGTGCCTTATGTTTATGTACTTTATTTGCTCTATTTAAACGTTTGCTAGCTACGGTAATTTGTGAACCAATTCTCCAACTGTTTGCACCAATTTATATTATGACCCACTCTTAGTCTAAGTCACCTAGTATTTTAGAAGGTATTACTGATTCATTTACTATTGTTGATAAAAAATAGAAAGACCTATTATTTTCAATTTCGCGCGAAAATCCATTCGTCTCAAAAATTTGCAGTATCAGTGACATCTGTGCCAAATGTCACATCAAAATAATCATTACTCTTGAATATACCTTCGCCTTTCTAAAGTTCCTAAAGTTTGCTGGCAATTAATCAAAAAATTAGTTCCATTAATGTTTGTATGTAGAATCAAATTGCTGGTGCTGACACGATCAGAATGTTGGAAAATGCCTACGGTGATAATTGTTTGTCACAATTTTTTAAAGATGGTCGCGATCTCATTGATGACGCACCACGTCCAGTACCGCCATCAACATCAACTGCTGATCAACACGTCAATAATACAAAGGAATTGTTGCTTGAGAATCGACGATTAACGGTCAGAGATCTTACTGTCATTATTGGAATAACGGAAGGATCAGTAAGAACGATTTTGAAATATTATTTGTGCCTGAGAATAGTGAAAATACGATTGGCGCATTGAAGGCATTGAATTGGAAAAAAAAGTTGGCATATGTGTATTGGGGCCAATAGCTTTTCTTTGAGAGGCGTTGTTGTAGAACCACCGGAGCGGTGACTTTACCAAAAACGTTTTTGAAACGTAATTACACACCCTCTATAAAAAAAAGAACAATTTCTTTTCCAAAACATTAAATAATACGTAAACTATTTTTTTAACTATAAATTTATATTTATTTTTTTTGATGATGGCATTTTCGCCTTCGTATCAGAAATATTTATAAGGGTTTGATTTCTCGAAAATTTCATCGATTTACTAATGAAAATTTATTACCATTCGTTTTGTTTGATTTCATCATTTGGTTTAGTTAAAGGCGGCATTAATGTACGACTAGTGCAAAACTTCCTCCTAAAAGTAGACTATGTTTCATTTACTGCTGCAGAACAATGCGAATGCTTGCCTAATTTTAGCCTGCACTGTGTCGAAGCATCCCTGTAGGAAAGGTATAAATTATTTCTCCATATATACTATGCCGATTAAAATGAAAAATATCAGTATGAAAGTATTGTTGATGAACTAACTCGATATCAATCACTAGTTTAATAGCTCAACAATTTATTCATCCAAAACAAGATACGAATTTTACTGTTCACAGGGTATCTACAACACCATCTACATATTATAGCGGTCTCCCTAGTCAATCTCACACTCATAATGTGGAGTCTTGTCACATTTTATAATTAATTCTGTTTTCCTAACTTTTGTTTGTATTCAAAAATGCCTATGTATATAGCAGGTATACACTCAAGTTTGTTTGTTCATGAGTATGTAAGCTAAACTGAGGTATCCAATATGCAAATATACGTATGTACATATTTCACTCTAGACTCCGATGACTATTACTGAGTTATTTGATATTGTAATTGATATATTCGGTGTATATGGACTTTTATCAGTCAGTTTTCTTGTTACACCGAAATGAATTCTAATCGAATTAGGAGAAGCTTTAAAGCGATTTTATCCACCATTTTGCATGTCGTATTATGTTAAGAGTTACTCAATTTTCTTAAGAGAACTCCGATCGCGAATAAATTACTACACCCTATATACATTAAATATTCACCGGGAAAACTGTTGCCTATAATATACGCATTGTGTCAAAAAAGTACCAGGAAATTTTAAACAAAACGCAAAATATTTAATTATTCAAAAATATTTATTTTGTCGCCTTCAAAGTAATCGCCACCAATCCCAACTGTCACAATCGTGGCTCGATGCGATGGTGTATTATCATCGAGTAAAATCTATGAAATGTTCATCCATCAAGCAAACGCCTCAATACGACCAAATATAACTTAAACGTCTGTCCCTCCTGTAACTTCATCATGTACCAAACCACAAATGTCGAAAAAACAATTATCATTCAGCTTTCTCAGAACAACTCCAGCAAGAACCCGTTTGATACCCATAATATCCACCAAAATCATTACATGTCGAGCTCTCTTGCCATCTCTCTAACATTTTCCTGATGATTTTTAAGCACCTTCATTTTTTTAATATTTTCATGAATTTAAGGGTTCGAAGGTCGTTTGGAACGAGGCATGTCTTCAACGATCTCTCGACTGTCTTTGAAATCTTTGTAGCACTCGTAAGCCTGTGTTTTTGATAAATCTAAATTAAAATAAGCATTTTCTAACATTCAGAACAATTTCGCACAAGAAATTTTATGTGAAATACTAAGTTTGAAACAAATTCTTCTTCGATATTTTGTACTGACTTAAGTAATTGCTGTAAACAAACTGGTTGACAGATCGGGCTCATATTTGGCACCGTAATTATTGACAGTCCTAACTACTTAGCAAAATAAATTTTTTTGGAATATCATTTTCCGGGGAATTTAATTATAATTTCCGGTTGCTGTTTTGTCTTAATGTATATAGGTATGTACATAAAGTGTATTTTTTATGATTAAAAGGGAAATATTCGCCACATTCTACCAAATTCATTCCAATTGATTTGATATACTTGCACTCCTGTACATACTATGTATAATTTTACGAGTTCCTTCACTATTTTAAAGTGTACGAAGAAACAGTTAACATAAATCATTACTACCGTCTATTCAACAACTTGTGAGAGAATAGAAAACATAAAGCTAATTGTTACTAAAGTTTTGTAATGTTTACTTTAATTGCCCCTGTTAGTACGTATGTAATGTGCGTTCAAATTACTATTTCCCAATTCAGATATTTCATAAATAAAGGGGCTTTCAATAGAGCCTCGTAGATGATATGATAGAGCATGCATGGAGTTGATGTTATTTTGAAGACAAAATTCGCTGAATAGGGTTTATTTTTGTCGAGTCCTGAAAATCGCAAATTACTGTCCAATTTGCCGAAAGTTACACATTTGCTGTAGTATAACAGGAAATAGTAATGCTCATATTGGTATACTATGTCACCGAAAGCATCAGTTATTCCAATTCAAGGCATACCTAACAAAGATCTCATTATATCAACAAACCATCCTCATATATATATGTACATTATTTATATATGTATGTCACATACATACAATTATCATATATATGCTTGTACGTATGTACTTATAACACTATCAGAAAGTTTAAAAATAAGATGTTCCGCTTAATAACATTACTCACTCCAATTTAATTGATAAAAGCCTTGGTACGAAAATACATACCCACATAAGTATATAAATGTATGTAAGTGGCTAGGCTGAAGCTCCATTACTTAATATAAAACAAGTTGCAGCATTCATTAACTATTACGGCTGAACTTGCGCTCAATTGATTAGCAGCAACAAATCGCATTCCGCAAATGTCAAGCTCTGTGTTCTAAACAAGGAGTATAAATATCTCAAATAAGGGCATACATATCTATACACACACACAAACATATGCGTCTTCTACCGTTTGTAGATACTCTCATTACTTGTTTTTCTTGATAGCGTTCATGCGAAATACACATATAAATCAAACAATAATCAGCATAAGAGCACATAAACCGAGACGAGAGATATAAAATTACCGCAAAAACGGGTGTCTACTTAAGCGTTCGTAAATATGTAAGTCGATGTGTGTATATAAGCAGTTATATTCATACGATCCACTCATGACGCAGTGCTGTTTTCGCGTAATTGTTTGATTGAATAAATTCTTTCGAAATTTGTCAATTAAATAAAAACCGTAGTAGTCGCCTGAAGACAGAATCAGTCACAGTTATCGCGTACCCGTTGGTGGATCATAAACGCGAGCGCAACGCCTTCTATTGTTGGGCAAAACACGAAAAAATCAAGAGATAGTGAAAGTGTGCATAAATAAATTGAAAGAACAAAACATTAAACTAAGCTGAAATGAGAAATCTAATCTACGTGTTTGCAGCAGCATTGCTATGCCTCTGCGCTACCTCGGTACAAGGCGATTTACTCGATTGCAATGAGAAAATCATACCCTCGCTATCGGATTTACCGATCATTGGACCGAAAGTGAGCAGCGCTGAGGAAAGCTCTGAGCATCAGGTGCGCGATTTTTTCAAAAATGTCGGTTGCCAAATTAAGAAGGGCGCTGAAAAGGTATCCGAACAGGCAAAGAAAATTGGTACCGAGCTGAAGGAGGGTGCCAAAAAGTTTGGCGAGAAGGCCAAGGATCTGGGTTCTGATATAAAAGACAAACTTGGCGATATTAAAGATAAATTCTCAAAGGATTCTTCGGAGGAACTTACAGCCCATAAGCTGCTCAATGTGGAACTGATAAATCCGGATATACTCAAAGCTGAGCAACAGTGCGGCCATGGACATATTTTGGACGCTTTGGGCAACTGCAGTAAATTGAGAAAGTGAGAAGTGAAAACATATACGTATTCTCGATTTTAAGGAAGTGATGATTAATCCCAAAGAATTATAAAAGTTAGCGCATTACTAAAATTAGGTGTAGCTTAAAACATAGTTTATAGAAGTTCCATGAAACTATAACAAACACATTTAATGAGTATTCGGAGTCACAGAAATATTTGCAAAGATTTGCCAATAATACTGGAGATTCTTAGTATCAGATGAACGATTTGTTGTTAGTGAAGTTAATATTGCTTAAAAATATATTTTTGTATATACATATGTTTAGATATGTTTATCTGTATGTTTAGTATTTGTTTTTGGTATACTGAAAACAGGCAATGTTATCAGCGTGAGCAACGTGTATAATATTCTCAAACTAAATAAAGAAAAAAAATTAGAGAGCATTAAAATAGCAAAATTATTTTAAAGAACTAAATGTGGTAAGTATGTAAGCAACATTACAAAAAAGAAAACGAAACATGGTCCTCTCAATAGAAGGTATCTGATGGTTGTATGGTATAAAGGTATATTATATGGCTTATATCCAGCTACCTGCCTGACCTGCGGTTATTGTATGATACAGAAAAAATTTTCGGCAACGGGAGGAGTTCCATAAGGTTCTATGCTGGGCCCATTGTTGTGGAACGTATTGTATAAAGCAGGTGCAAATCACGTGGATGATATTATCATAACTTGAGAACCTCTGCAATCATGCAGGGCAACAATAAAAGAAAACGGCAACAAACCTTCAATTTCCTGAGCAAATAACAGACGCAAAAGACGTATGCTAAGAAAACGAAGTTCGCAATGCGGCACATGTCATCAGATATAATGACCTTGGAACTCAAAAGAGCATGGAACAGGTCCATAAGACTTGGCAGGCGACTAACGGTGGAAGTGAAGAAGGAAGGCAAACAAGGCTCAATTAGTGCAGCTACAACGGGGAGATGGACCCACAGGCTAATTAAAAATGTACAAGCATGGCTAGGTGGGAAACATGGAGAAACAGATTTCTACCTGACGCAATTTGATATAAATATGAGAAATATGGACATGACGACGGGGCGAATTGTTGCTTCTGCGACAGAAGAGGAGAAAACGCGCCGTACATCTTCTTTTTCTGCCGGCAGTATGAAAAGTAGAGACCCGATCAAGAGAAATGGATAACGGAACTAGTGACACCGAAGAACATAGTGCGATTTATGACTGAATCGAAACTAGTGTGGCGTCAGAGCGCGCTCTGCTACAGTTCTTAAAGAGCTGAGAAGAAAAAAGGGTAACACAGCGGAATCAGAAGAATGAAGAGGAGTTTAGAGTTTAGTACGTCGGCATATTGGTCTTCGGAAAAATTTAGGTATCTTTCAAAGACTCCCCATACAAAAAAAGTAAAAAAAAACCGCTTCAACGCACCACGCTGATCATTTTTGTACATATATATTTGATACGGGTGTCAACGTTTTCTTTTGCGTGTTAAAAACATGATAGAAAAGTTTATATACTTACAAGCTCAAAAATTTTTATCTCTCAGTTGTTCATACATATATTATGTGCATGTATATCTTACATGAAAGGTTTTAGTTGTGATGATAGCAATTAAGTTTTAAGCGCAAATAACGAATAAACTGTGAAAATTTATCCAATTTTTCGGTACTCTTTGATAATGAATTGGCCTGAGCCTAGAAAATCGATCCTTTTATTGTCGCTATATTTCGAGCATGTCAAAGATCACAAGCTGAGGATAAAGCAAAAAAAAAAAAAAAAAAAAAAAAAAAAATAAAAAAAAAAAAAAAAAAAAAAAAAAAAAAAAAAAAAAAAAAAAAAAACAAGCAAATTAAAAAAATATTTAATATATTTTAAGTCCAATACACGCAATTTTGCTGTCGTGCACTTGTTTGGCGTCAATGCTCACTCATTTTCAAATATCAGGACGAAATGTACAATACCTTTCTTTTATATCTGTGGAATTTCACCTGCCTTGATCACGTTCATTTTTACATTCCACTAATTTCATCCTTTCATTCTATCAAAGATCACACTTAGACTAATAATGTGATGCCATAGAAAAGAACTCCCGTGTTCGAACTTACAGATTGGCGAAGCACTTTGTAGCCAATATATAGTTAAACAGACGCTTAACTTCAAGACCCGCCATTTCGGTGGGATGTCCAAAGGTATGCGCCCACAAGTGTCTAAGTCTTGACCTCCCAAACGCGGGACAGTCAAGCAGGAAGTGCTGGCTTGTTTCTACCGCATCATCTTCCAAACAGCTTCTACAGTCCGCTTCCAGTAAGATACCTATTCTTACCTCATATAAGCCAATAGGACAGTGGCCTGTTAAGAGTCCCATTAATAATGAGAGGTTAGCCTTACTGAGGCTTAAAAGATCATTAGATCACCTGCGATCTATCCTGGGCCAGAATGCTTTTGCAACCGCAAAAGTACCGATGCTGGCCCAGCGTTGGATTAACATTCCTTAGCCCACCTATCTGGTAGTAGAACACAAGACGATACAGGAGCACCGAGCCGTTTCCATTCTACCGATAATGATTCTAGGGTGCCTTTCCTTGCTAACTCATCAGCTTTGCAGTTACCTGCAATTCCGCTGTGACCCGGCACCCAGAGAAAACAGTAGGTATTATATGAAATTTTTCCTACATATTTTCACCTAAAATGCAAAATAAGGTAACATAACTATTCATAAGTTTACAAGTGAAGGAAAAAATCATATTGAAACAAAATGTGTATTTAGGTTATAAAATATGTAGTTATATATTGGTTATCAAACACTCAAATTGAAGCGAAATATGAGTTTTGGCTATAGAATGGTTATATATTGGTTATTATATCTGACTGATTTTGAACTTTTTTGATGATAAACTGTTTTGCACTTTAGGTAACGATTTATTCATTCAAATTATGTTCAAAACTTTTTTCAACAAGATATGCGACTAAAGCTGAAGTAATTGAATCATTGAAATTTCTTATAATTCTTTGAGATTATCAAATTGTTATTATTCAAAAAATTTAAAATGGTGGCTGTGGCTGTCCCAACTTTTTCAAAAATTGTAAGAGCTGAAATAGAACTGGAACGAATATGTGTCAAGAACATTAAAATGAAAGCACAAAAGGTTTTATGAAGAAGAAAGACAAAACAAAAACTCGCATAACAACTTAAGGCTTAAGAAAACATATATAAACAAGACTCACTTTAATAAAAAAACGATCGCATATATGACGAACAGGTTTCCCTATTAGCTTTACCCATATGCAAAGGCCACACTCAAAGTAATTACAAGACCAAATACCAAAGGTGTGCTCTTCCGATGCCCTTACCAGTGAAACATAGTTGTACGTGTAAACGAAGAGGTGACGAGTTGTAAGAAATGCGCTGGAAAACGAAAGAAACGCAAGAAATGAAAGAAGTAGTGCAGCTTTTACTAAAGGTAAATAAAAAAATAAACAAAATAAATTGTCACCCGACAAAAGTCACTCTGTCAAAAGAGTAGAGGCAGTGTCTGCGGCGAACAGAAAGCGTGCAACCCACTGAGCTAGTCGTGTGGCGCATTACCTATGCATGTATTAAGCTAACTATATGTGTACATATGTATATACATAATTCAACTAGGCGCACAAGTGGATCGCGTATCTTAAGAAAACTTGGGTAACCAATTGCATTGGCTTCAAAACAAGTTTTAGTAAAGATTTGTACTTCAAACGCAGCGGATATCGCGCTACGGTAACTCTTAAACGCAGCTACCTTCATACGAATATATACATACATATATACAAAGTAGTTGTCAACACAACCGTCTTTTTTAATACTAACGTTTAGCTGGTGGTTTTCGTGTTCCAGAAGAAATGAGATTTCTTGAAACTTCCTTATTGCGCGCTTTTACACTATTCGGCTGCGTTGTCGCACTGACAACTGCCGCTGTAATTTGTATCGATGAATCATCATTAAACAATACACAAGGCGGAAATGTCAACGAACTGCAGCGTAAAGCAGGTGATGGCGCGGAGATGGACGGCGCTGTGCTAAACTTAACTGATTCCAGCAACAGTTTCACTAATGGCAGTCACCACAGCCAAAGTCAGGTCACACAATTTTTGCAGACTGTACAGGATACATTGGAGAAGGCTAAACCTTGGGTTGTCGAATTGGAAAAGGAAGCCAAGCGACTGGAAGAGACCGCCAAACGGTTTGGCGAAGGTGTCATACGCGGTCTGGGCAGTTTTGTTGATCGTTTGATTGGTGTAGGTAACGGCAGTGGTGGTCTAAAGCCGACACGTCATGAACAGTCATCAACAACAAGCCCTCAACACACCTCTACGGCAGACGATAAAACGCCTGATTTACCGACCACAACCGCGAAAGCTGTTGTTGCTGAAGTTTTGACCGAAACTTTGGCTGCTGCGAGTGCAGTTGATGATGCAGAGAATGAAATATTTGAGCACGATAATGCTCTTTGCCCCGACGGCTTCGTGGCGGATGTAAATGGAATCTGTCTGCGCAATCATAATTGAGTTGACAAGCTAATCGCTTATTAACTGGACAGAATAAATACATACACACCTATATAAGCGCGATAAGAAAATCATTCGCAACATTTATACAATCTGAAAACATTCGAAGTATAAGTAACTAATATATTTTATTGATTTAGTGTAAGAGAAAGTGTCATTTAGATACATAGGTCTTAAAAAAAAAAAATAAAACAGCAGATTGGCTAATAAGTCAATATCATGTGTCGCTTTAAAAAATGTGTACATTCATTTGACTTATACATTATATACTATTTGCAATGCAGAGTAAAGTTAGACGGATGTGCGAAAATTTGTTTATTAGATATATGGAGGCTAGGGAAACTGCTGAACCGATTATACACATTTTGAGCAAAAAGTCACATTATTATAAAAAAAAAGATTCTATCTGAATTTCATTAATAAAGGGCGGTCCACTTCGAGGTTCTCTACATTTTTAAAGAAAAACCACAGCACAATAATGGGCATTTGCTTTTTAATGATTATCTCTTTCAAATGTTGAGTCCAATTTTCAATGACTCGATCGAGCATTTCGACTTGTAACTGGAGTATGACATGAGTGCTGGTTTGACCCAAGACTTGAATCGAAGCGAAAATGTCCGAATAAACAGATAGCATGCCACGATAACGGTCGCTTTCGGCGGTTACGTTCTCATAGGCATAATTTTTGAAAAATGTGAACAAATGATTCCACCGGCATAAAAACCACATCCAATCGTTGATTTTTCTGAATCAAACGACAGCTTTTGAATCTCTTCAGGTTGTTCTTAGTCCCAAATGTGGAAATTTTGCTTGTTTACATGCCCATTTACGCAGAAATGGGAGTCATCGCTGATCAAAATTTGGTTCGAAAGCGTCCGATATTCTT